AGCGCCCCTAGAGGACAGAGTGGAACTGCCCACAGGGTCTCCAAGGCTGTCAGTCTTCACAGAAGCAGACTGCCTCATCTTTCTCCAGCAGTGGGTTCAAACTGCTCACCTGTTGGTTAGCAGCTGAATGCTTTAACCACTGCACTATCAGAGCTCCTGTGCTCTATAAACTTTCACCCAAATCACAAAAAAATTATTAAAAAAAAAAAAGTAAACCTAAGCACATGTTCGACGTGGGTGGTCACAGCCCTGGACAACATGTACTTCATTCCTGTCGCTGACCTGGGCACTGAACCCTAAGCACCGCCTCTCAGCTGTCATGACAATCCCTGTGCCCATTGTACAAATGTTCCCATGCTAGCTTGTCCCGCTGCAAATTCTGGGGGGCTTCCCACCCCCCTCACAGGCAGAGAAGGGGGTCCCCAAGTCCCTATCCTAGCACACAGCTGGTTATACTAAAGGATGACCGAACCGGGAGGGTATGGGGGTAGGGGCTACCCTCACCACAGTCTCTCCTCATCCCTGTCACCCACCCTAAGCCCGCCCTGGCCCTGCTGTACCCAGTACACCGGTACCCATGGTGGCAGCCTCTGTCAAGACAGACAAGGGCACAGGAGCCAGCAGGAGATGGCGGCAGCGAGTCTTCCCTAAGAGAAACCGTTTGCCGTCTCCCTAAGCCTCCACACGCTGTGGCTGAACCAGAAATCCGGTGCCACAAGGCCAATGCCGCTCATGGTGCCCCCGACAGTCAGGGCAGAACTGTCCTCCATGGAGTTTCCAGTGGCCAAGTTCTCAGAAGGTACCCAGGCCTTTCCGTGAGGCACCTCTGGGCGGGAACCTCCAATCCCGTGGTTGGCTGCTGAGCACGTTCACCGTGCCGCACAGGGACTCCTGCAACGGAACGCTCTGCACGTGCTCCCGCTCAAGGAGCAGAAGGGGGGCGGGGCGGAAGGCAGAGCAGCACCACCCCCAGTCAGTCACAGCAAGTCCACCGGGGGCACCTTGGAAGACGGGCCTGGCTTCTGAAAACTCAGCCGTGAATACCTCCTCACCTCCTTCAAGCAGGACCTCCCATGCCCAGCGCTGAAAGGAGCTCTGTCCACGGGGAGACTGAGGCCTGGCCAGACGGGGCATGGAGGGTCATGCGGGGTCCACAGCACGTACTGGGGAATTGCAAGGTGTGTGCTCAGCCCCGCTCTCTGGGGGAACCAGCCCCTCAGGCCACCCCCCACGGAAAGCCCGAGGTTCAGCCACCGAGGAGGAGGCACCTGACTGGTGGCACCTGTGGCAGGGCCACCCTCACGCCCACTGGGTCACCCTGGAGCCTGAGACAAGCTCTGGGCGTGATGCTTCAAGAGCCCAGGAAGAGGCAGGCACGCTCGGTTCTCACCAGACCAGACCCCGCTCAGCTCCCCGGGCCAGCACCACCCACAGCCTCAGGGGGGTCCCCACCCGCCATCAGAGCCCAGAAACCTGCTGGCATGCAGCCTGTTGTAGGGGTCCCCCTAATGCAGAGCCCCACCACCCCAGGCTCACGGGCCAGAGCCCCAGGCCTCTCCCCACAAAGTCCACTGGTCTCTGGAAGAAGCCCCATCGCCCTGTCTCACCCCTGCTGGCAGCTGGGCTCTGGTGCCACCCGTGGCATTTCATATCCCAGTCCCCCAGACCCTGCTCACACCCGCCCCTCCTGGGGAGCCCATACCCCCTCTTCAGGCCACCCCAGCCATCTCCCCTGCTCTCTGACTCACTCACACGTGCCCTCTCCTCACCTCAGGGCCACACACATCCTGCTCCCCACCCAGACTGCCCTTCCCTGGCCCACTCCCTTCCCCCACCAGGGCCCGGCTGAAATGCCACCTCCTCCAAGAGGCCCTCCCTGACCACCTCTCCTCTCTCAAGCTCCCTCACAGCTCTGACCACAATTGTTCATCGTCTAACTTCTCCGTCAGACTGTGCACTGTTCTGGGCAAGGATCACGTCTCTACCGTCTGTGGCTGCCTACACCCACTCCCCGTGTAGTGGTTGCCATGGAGAGGGGTCCAACAAACACAAGGAAGTCAGATGAATGGGTAGATGAATGAATCAATGAATGGACTCACTATGGCTATCTGGGCGAGGAGTGACCAGGCAGAGAGACCAGCAGGGAGCCAGCAGGGAGCCAGCGGGGGAAGGAACTGTGGGAGGGAACATGGTTTATAGCGCTTCAAGGTGAAAAGGGAAGCCAGGGCAGAGAATGGCAGGAACTGAGCCCTCCGTGGCTGAGTGAACAGGAGGGGCCATCTTCTTTCTGGCCTGAGTTCCAGGACAGGCTGGAGTTACACATTGACTGGCATCCCCCAAAATCACATCGTGTACATCCTGGCCCCTATACTCATGGATGCGACCCCGTTTGGGAACAGGGTTTTTTCTGTTGGGTCAGGGAGGCCCCATCGTGCAGGGAATGCCTTAAGCCGCTCAACTCTGGATATGAGAGCAGACTGAGCATGGGGGGCAGGCAGATACCGTCTGCAGAGGATGGAGGTCGACCAGGAATCCCAGGACGGCCAGCTGAGCCAAGGGCCGTCCCCCAGAGCCCACAGAGAGCGCCCCCTAGAGCTGGGACCGACGGACACTGTCTGTCCACCAGGACCACCAGCCAGAGAAGCTGAGACCCAGAGCCCACACCCCCGAGTTTGGACCTCCAGCCTCCTGACCTGTGAGAGAACAAATCCTTCCTTTAAACCCACTCACTCGTGGTGTTTGTCATGGCAGTCCTAGACTAGGACAGCTGGGGACCACGTAAGGTCCCCCAAAATCCCTCAGGGAGCCCCCAGCTCCTCCAGGAAGCAGGCCTGCAGAGCAGAGAGTCAGTGTCCCGAGGGTCTGGAGACACGTCCTGGCCCTGGGCCCCTGCCCCACCCCCGGCACGCACATGGATTCCACGGCCCGCACTGTCCTCCCCACCCCTCACGCCTTCACTCGCCCCACAGTCATCATTCCTCATGCCCAGCTTCTAGACGGGGAAACCGAGGCACGTCTGTCCAGGCCTCATGATGGACAAGCAGGCGACGTGCCTGGGGCTGTCTCCTTGACCCCCACGGGACCCCCACTCAGAACGCCTTCACAGGGCAGCATCACTCTCAGGATCTGTCCACAGAACTGCTCAGCACCCCCACCCCACCCAGGGCCCCCCACTGTTCCCTGGGGTGACCGCAGCCTGTCCATGTGTCACGCACTCCGCATCCCGGCCGTTAAGCCCGAGCTCAGGCTGAGGCCTGGTTGCCGTAGCAACCCCATCCCAAGCTCCTCACCAGACTTGATGACTGCCTGCCCGGCACTGTCCGGAGGCCTGTGGCAACAGCCGAGTGGCCAAGCCCCTCAACACCACTGCTCAGCACCCGCCCTGTGTGCAGGCCGGGCGGGGGATCGCCTCCCGGCCCCTCCTCCCCAGATCTGGCTCCCAAGCTGCCCCACGGCAAGAGGACGGGCAACGGAAAGAGAAGGGAGGTGCGCTCAGCCCCACCTCTGCAGCCAGGTGACGTTGGGCATGTCATTTCGCCTGCGTAGGCTCAGTTTCCCCATCTGTCAAGCTACAATGGCAGGTCCTCCTTGGCAGGGCCGTGGAGAGACTATAGTGGCCAATTCATGTCACACAAGAGTCCTCACGGTGGTGTCTGCACACAGGGAAGGCAGCCACATGGCACCAGCTGCTGTGAGGATGAGCTTCTCAGACTCGGGAACACTGATGTTGGGGGCTCACAGATGTAGATAATGGCCCGTCCTGAGCCAAAACCCCTCTGAAGCCAAAGCCAGACACAGCCCGTGCAGGGTCCACACAGCACGTCTCTGGAAGCAGGACCTAGGGCTCACACACATGGTCCGAGTCCTAGGACCTCCATGGAAGTGTATGGCCTGACGTTCACTGAGCACCCACAATGCACCCCTCAGGCAGCTGCCATCATGCCAGCGAGGGGCCCTCCCTGCTCACTGGCCAACAGCCCCTGGGCAGTGCAGACAGCCAATGCATCTGGCTGCTAACCAAGGGTTGGAGAGTCGAGACCACCCAGGGCACCTCGGAACAAAGACCTGGTCATCTCCGTCCAAAAAAATCAGTCACTGAAAACGCTGCGGGAACAGTCCCACAAGGACGCGCGTGGGGGGCCGGGAGTCAGAACCGACTTGATGGCAACTGGTTTCAAAGGTGAGAACTCGGGCCCAGAGGGCTTAGCTGGAGGGAAAGGGGAGAGCCAGGCTGTGAGCTCACGACCTAAGGAGGCAGAGGTTCAAACAAAGCAAGGAAGACGTGACAGCAGGGACTCAGACAAATTCGTCTACACCAGCGCTCACTGCAGCACAACTCACAACAGCCAAGAGGTGGGCACCGGCCAAGCCAGCAGCAAACATGTGGATTCACAAAACGTGGTACAACCACACAACTGGGTATTCCTCTGCCATGAATAACACACGCCATGACACGGATGGGCCTTGGAAACAGGATGTTGAGTGGAATAAGCCAGACACCAAAGGACCGTCACCGTATGATCCCGCGTACATGAACCAGACGAGGCCAGGCACAGACAGAAAAGCAGGAACTGGGTCAGGGACTGAAGGGGACAGTCACTTAAGGGGCACTGGGTTTCTGCTTGGTGGGAGGGAAAGTTTCAGAAATGGACAGCGAGGGTGGCTGTGTAACACTGCCAGTGCAATTAATGTGACTAAATTACGTTCTTATGAATGCTTACACCAGCGAGTTCTGTTGGGGGTACTCTACCTACAAGGAAAATTTTCTTTAAAAAAAAAAAAAAAGGATGCTTGACAGGATGGACAGAAGACCGTGGGGTGGACGACACCCACTGGGCTGGCGGTAATCCCCGCAACACACGTGCGGCAATGCCCGCAACACACGTGCGATAATACCCGCAACACACATGCAGACGTGTGGGGCACCTAACTTCTCCCCCACAAGGTTGTTCAGCATAGGGGCTGGGCTGCCCCGAGAAGAAACCACCACTTTTTAACGGATTTTCACTTTTGTTTTTTAAGGAGAACGAATCCAGCCACCTGCCTTCCTACCTCTCAGCCGTCAGCTCCAACAGAAGACAGTCGCAGACAAGTCCCGGGGTATCTCATCCCCAAATCCACTCATGACGGTCTCTGTCACACTCACAACCCTGCAGACACAGGGCCCCTGAGCACTGGCAGGTGCACCGGCCCCTGGACTGGCCCTCAGAGCCACACGTCCCCAACAGGAGGGCCACACCCGCATCGCCTACCCGCATCCACACAGCGATGACCGCAGGTCCAGGGACAGGAACCCGCAAGAAGGAGCCACCCACTGCTGGAGACCTCTGTGCTAGCAGGAGGGGCTCCCCCCCCAAGCCGCCATCAAACCCAAGGGCTGCTGCCACTCCTTCCAACCCTCACGTGAGCCTCCAGGTCAGAAGGCTTAGGACTTCCCTGGCTCCAGGGCTCTGCACAGAGCAATGAGCTCATGCAGTCATTCAACAAACACTGTGCGCTCCCCCCACTCTGATCCACACATGCTGGACAAAGACAATCCGAAGACAGAGGACCCCCTAGCCAAAGATCCAGGGCTGCTCCCGGGACACGGGCATCCAGAACTCAGCTGGGGACGGTGTCAATGTTTAACAGTTTCCCCCTTTTGATCAAGTTTCTTCTATAGACAGTGTCAATGGCAGCTCCCAAGGGACATGGAAGACTGGGACGGAAGGAAAAGGAGACACTGATCAGCGGGAACAGAGAGGGCGGGAAGAGGGGACAGCTTGAGCAAAGTGCATCTCAGGGGAGGGCCAGGCACGAGGCGTGGGTGAAATGTCCCAAGTTAGAACACGGCCCAGCCTCTGGAGCCTACCCCCAGCGCAGGGGCACCAAGAGGCAGTGAGCTGTAAGCAGGGCAACAGGGGGGTCCTTAGAAAGAGCCTGTGCAGCCTGTGGGAAAGCGTGGGCATCTCAGGGGCATCAGCTAGGGACACGACTGAGGGTCTAGGAGGCGGCTGTGATGGAACACAGCAGTGCCCATTCACTGGGGACCAAGGACGACACTCAGGAGGTCAGCTTGGATAAGCACAGCCAAGGGAGTGACAGGGACCAGGCGATGGCACCTGGGGATACCTAAGCAGCTGCCGGAGGTAAGGCCTGCGAGGCACAGCGGGGGGGCCAGGCCCGAGCCCCCAGCCAAGAGGGTGAGCTGGAGGCGGCTGGGAGCAGAAGAATCACAGAGAGGCTGCTGAGCACGGAGCACTCAGGGCTCCGCCTTCCACGGGCAGCACCCCGAGTCTGCCCACCACACGCCACAAACAACTGAACACAGCCTGGGCAGCGGGGCCGGCTTCAGGCCCCGAAGCCCAAGACAACCAAGTGCCCAGTTCTAACATCACAAACACAGGCGCCCCAAAATCCCAGGAGGGACAGAGAAAGGTCCCACAGCCAGTCGCAAAACATGCTCCTTCCCGGTTAACCCAACAAAGCCTGACAACAACGATGTAAGGACAATTCTGAGGGATGTGAACCGAAACCGAGGCGAGAGCGTAAAATCCCTAACGACTTCAGAGGGCACGCTGGACGTGAAGATCCACAGCGCAAATCACGGCGAGCCTCCCCCACGCACAGCGGGATCGGGTCCGTGCGAGCCAGAGTCGTCTCATTCATCTTCATAAGCAGCTTGCCAGGCCTTTCTTCCTGGTCTTACTGTGGAAGCACCCGTGAAACCTGTTCACCATCACAGCAATCACAAGTCTCCACTGACAGGTCATGGCCACACACAAGATGGGCTGGCTGGGAATTGTACCCAGGTCTTGTACATGGAAGGCAAGAATTCTACCAGTGCCACCTATAAGATTATTGGAACAACAGCAAACTACCAGAACCTCTGTTTAAAGCCTCTCTCACTCACTTATGCAATTATCAAACACCTACAACGTGGCAGTTATACACACACACAAAACAAAGTCACTGCCATCGAGTCGATTCCGACTCATAGCTACTCCCACTGGGTTTCTGAGGTGGTATCTCTACAGAAGTAGATTTCTCCAACTTCCTTCCGCACAGCGGCTGGTGGGTTTGAACCACCAACCTTCTGGTCAGCAGTTCAATGCCTTAGGCACTGCACCACCAGAGCTCTGTGCTAGGTATGGAGACACTGAAATCTGCAACACACCGTTCTCTCCTCAAGATTTTAAAAATGTCAGCCTTAATACTAGTCTATTCCTAGAAACCTATTCTTAGAAAATGACTCCATATACCGTAAAAGCACAACGTACAAGAATATTCAAGGCTCGTTACGAGGAAACAAAACTTCCAAGAAGGGAAACCAAAATGCCCACCAGGGGGATGGTTAGCTCAGGGAGACAAGTTTCGGGAAAGACATAACAGTGCTCGGGGTGTCGGGAAAACAGAATTTTCCTCCTTTTCTATACTTAACTTCCTGTATTTCCCACATGCCTAATGGCAAAAGCCATAAAGTTTGAATAGCAAAGTGGAACAGAAGACAAATGGAGCTGGGGAGACAGAAGAATAGGGGGTCCAAGAAAGAGATGAGTGGTGTGGCACCAGGAGAAAGGCAGCAATTAAAACCAAAGGGCTCCCATTATTGAATGTTTTGATCTAAGATTCTATAGAAGAAACTTGATCAAAAGGGGGAAACTGTAAAACTTTCATGGCATCCAAACTTTCTGGAGCCACTGAGGCTAGATGGAACCCCTGAAACTATTGCTCTGAAACAGATAATCTTTAAACCTTAAACCAAAAATCTCCTGCAGTCTTCTTTAAACCAAACAACAACTAAACTTAATTTAATTAGTAAAGACTGCCTGTCTTGAACACTGTGTTCTTTTAAGATCTACCTACACCGGACCCAAGTGACAACAGCAACCCCTAAAGAACACAAAAGAAACTCAGGAGGCAGTGAGTTTAGTTAATGGGGGAGGGACAATTTGGAAAAGGAGGGTGAGAAGGTTGCTAGATTGGAAAATGTAACTAACATCACTCAATAGTACATGCAGAAAATCAAACAGGTGTATGTTTTTCATTTTAACAAGAAAAAAAACACATTATTTAAAAAGCAGAAGGGAAGGGAAGGAGTGGAGACAGAGCCTACCTTTAACGCTGCTCAGGGACAGGGTGCGCTCCTGGTCCCCCAGACCAGGCCCTAGTCGGCCACTCCCTCCACTGTCCTTTTGCCGGGCCACCGCCACGGCGATGCCCACGGGTGGATGCCGCACCTCGGCCTCGCCCTGCGTTCCAGAGCCCTCACGTCCGAAGGCCTTGGCGCTCTCGGGCCTCTCGGGGTCCCGCTTCAGCTGCCGCCCGCTGCCCCCTGCAGGGCCTCCGGGGTGCTGGAGACGGCCCTGCGCGCGCGGGGCTCCTCCCGTGGTCGGCGCTGGCTCCGGCTTCATGGTGCCCAGTCCTCCAAAAGGGCTCTTCTTGCCACAGCCGCCAGGGCGCACGGCCACGGCCTCGCGGGGGAAACTGCCACTGTACTTGATGAGGCTCTGCATGGCCGAAGCCTCTCCGGGGCCATGGGCCACGGGGTGCATGTCCGCGCTCGGCCGTCCGCAAGCCCCTGCGCGGGGCACCGCGCCTCCGGGGTCCAGGTACGCCTTCTTGGAGGCGGCGGCAGCCGCGGCCTCCTCCTCGGCGCGGCTGGCCTGGTGGTGCTGCGCAGCCAGCACCGCCATCTGTGTGGTGGCAAAGTTGCCCAGCTCAAAGGGCTTCC